TGAGTATATATACATACGACAACTTTCTTTCTCTCTGCTCTGCTGTTGCTGCCGTTGGTTTGCACCGATGCCAGGAATGCCGCGCGCACGACGCGATATTACGTCTGTACGTGTAGTATGTGTGCGCAGCAATAAAAAAAAAAAAAAAGCTAATCGAGAGAGCCTCGTTGCCTCAGATTTGTCGAGTTTATACATCGTATACGTGCGCAGTATAGAGATATCGCTAGATTACGACTCGACAGCTTGTCGCATATACACGAGATAAAATTTGTGCAAAACCCCGAAGAGAGAGAGGGAGAGACTTTTGGTATAAACATTCGATTTTCTAGGCAGTAGTGCAGCACAAGCTCAAATATTGAATTTCACATCTCTCTGTACTATACGGCGAGCGAGCGCAGCAGCAATTAAAAACATTTGCGTCACTGGCTGTCGGTACAATACCCCTCTCTCTACCTCTCGATGTGCACGCGGGTCACTACTCTCTGATTTATGAGCGACGCATAAATCATTCTCTCGGACAACAAAACGTTGAAATAAAAAAATAGAAAAAAACAATCTATAGCGAAAAAAAGATATCCTATACGGCACGCAAAGATCTATCGACTAGTCGTCGTCGTTGTCTCTCTCTCTCTCTCTCTCTGTGTTTGCATCCCCGACGTTTTTTCCGTAGTTATACGCGCGTGACGCCAGCTTGATGGATATATGAAAAGCTCGGCTCACGTGTGGACCAGCTGACGCCTTCGCACTCGCACATGCATGCGGGATGCGACTCGCCAAACGCGCGCGAGGCGGCGGCGGTAATTTGTATCGTAAATAAACTCATAAATATCGCGTATCGCATACGTGCGTATGACTACTCCGCGCGTGCGAAATGCCATAATACGCGAGCGAGTGCAGTCGCGATTTTCCCGGATTTTTCACAACGGTATCACGTGCGTTACACGCGTAATTTCGCGCGAGTCGAGTTTTGTGCGCGCGCGCGACGTTTGACCCCGCAGCCCCAAACTCGCTCAATATTTATGTATTCAAATGCTGGATAAATATTTATTGACTCTGTGCTGGCGCGCATTATCGTAAAGCCGAATCAATGGGCGATCGTCTCTCTCTCTCTCTCTGTCGAGTGGGAAGGCAGCAGCAGCAAGAAAGATTATTTTTAGTGCGCCTTTTTCTTCAAACGACGACATTAAATAATCGAACTCGCTCGGAGGCGCAGACAGAGAGAGGAAGAGAATCGAAAGTAAATCAGATAATTCTTGTGCAAACGACGATGCTAAACTCTCCTCGCTATCGGTTCAAACTGAATTTCGTGCAAATGAAAGAAAGCGCAAAGAAAAAAAAAGAGAAAGAGAAGAGGAAGGGAGAGAAAAAGTTGAGGAAACACAAGTCAGCGCCGAAGAAAAATAAAAAGTACGTGGTGGTTGGCTTCTGTTCGTGGTCGAACCCGGGGCACATAGACAATTTAATTGGTCATTTGTATGGAATTCGATGCCTCTGCGGTTTATTCTTCCGTCCCGTACACATATATATACCTACTACTACGCCTTGGCGTCTTTTTCAGCGCGCATTCGCACAAACTCGCCGCGCATACCAATTCGTCCGCGCAGTCGACGTTATAGTAGTGGTTCGACTCGCAAGCTGCGCGCAGAAATCGTCTTATAATTCGACCATCGCCGCTTCATACGTAATTGCCTCTCCCTCCTCCCGGTTATGACCTGGAAATTGAATTTAGATTTTTTTTTTGGATATTATTATTGTATATATATATCAACGATTTGTCGAAGCTTGCGCGCGGCCGAGCAGCGAACAATATATATAAAACAAACTTCCTGCTTGTCGTGTCGATGTCTTGTTTGATACACATTGTAGATTAAAAAGTTTTCCTTATACTGGGACAAGCTCTCCGCTCTACGATATGTTAATAAAATTCGTCATTCGAGTCAATCGTGTGCGGCTGGAGGAGATTGACTCGCTTAAATTATTCCTCGACTGCAGCTGCAGCGTCAGCAGCTCGAGCTGCAAACTCTATGGATATAGCTCTAAAAATAAATATACATACCCGCTCTGCTCTGCTGTCCGTTATTAGAAAATCGATTTGCACTAAATGGCTCATGTCTGCGCGCGCTTTCGTTATGTCAAAAATGGCTCTCGCTCGCTCTCCTTCTCTCTTTTGGTCAGGCTTTTTTACCGCGGCGGCCAAAGTTGTGTGTTCGATTGAGCTGTCTTAAAATATCGCGTACTTACAAACGCTGATGCTGCTGCTGCTGCTCATGCTGCTGTTATGGTAAAACTGATTGAAGTTTCGGCTTTCAAACACGCGCCCGAAATTCGAAACTTTACGCACTGTTTGAGCTTTTGCCTATCTTTTCTTATGCAACGCCGCCCCAGCAGCAGCGGTTTACGATGTTTGGTCTTTCGGTCTGTGCCGCAGCGGCGCAGCAGTCACGAACACAGACGGGGACAGACGAAGAAAAATGCCGCATTATAACTGTCAGGATGAATTCGACCGCGTGGATGTTTTGCGCGCGCGAAAATGAAGTTTCGCTATTTTCGGTCGGTTGGAAAAATAAACTTTTAACCCATAGAGAACACCAGCGGGCCTGCGTACACTCGAAAGAAAAACAAATCTTTTTTTTTTTGGTCGGGTAACGCTGGAAATATTGTCTTTTTGGAACTACAACCTATAATCTTGTGAGCACGTGGGTATGCGCGCCTGTGTGTGTGTGTGTGTGTGTGTGTGTGTGATTGGCGAACCCACGACGACGACGTTGCTATACGGTATACGCGCAAAGTATCTAAAAGACACGGGGCCACTCGCTCGACCAATATTTGCTTAGGCCTCGGCTCGCAAGCAAGCAAGCAAGCAAGCAAGCAAAAAAAAATTCCTCCCACATATAATACACTCTCTCGAGCGCATTCAACGGCACACATACATACGGTGCGGAGAGCTTATGTAAATTTTTATCTTTTTCCCGCATGATGATACTGTGCTAAAGCGCAAAGTAGACTTTGTGTGTATGTGTGTTGGCTCGCGCGCTAATTTGATTAGAAGCACTGCTGCCGCTGCTGCAGTCTCGGTGCTCGCATGCAGTAACAGCTCTAACCGAGAGAGAGAGAGTAAAAAATATATTTTATACGCGTTTAAAAATAAAATCCTCTTACTCATTTATTGCGTTTAGTTGTGTTGCGCGCGGCTTTAATGAAATAGAAAAATACGGGGGAGGATGAATACCTACCTCTCTGGGGTTTAGGCGCGCCCGTAGTATTTTCGTCGCTCTCTCTATCTCGAACGAGTATTAATATCGGAAACCGTAGGCTTTTTCGAATAGGCTTAGAAAAATACCATACGTATATATGTTTTTGCATAGGCGCAGAGGTGGTGGTGTTTTGTTATAGCGAAGAACACATATAGCAGTACTAGTAGTAGTAGTAATAGTAGTAGTGGTAGTAGTATTGTTACAGAGCCCCAGAGCCACATGAAGTGCACAGAGACTGCATCTCTCGCCCATGCGTATATTGGTTTAATTAATTTTCTGTAGCAGCGGCAGCAGCTCTCGCACACGCAACGGAAACCCTTAGCTTGTCGAGCGCGCGCACCAGTAGTTCGCTAACTGCATTGTGTGTGTGTTACACTGCACTGCACGCAGTACGCAGATCAGATTTTCTCCCGTTTGCCTAGTGGTGGTGCTGCTGGTGGTGGTGATGGTAGAGAAAAAAGAAGAAAAAAAGTGGAAAAAAAATCACAATGCACGGAAATTTTTTTTTTCGCTCTTTGTACGCGCTGAAATAGAGATCGAGCTTTAATAAAAAAAAGTTTGTACGAGAGAATTGAGTTTTTTTACGTGCGCTAATTGATTCAATCGTTATTTAAACTAATTTTCATTTAAAGTACATAGGATGCAAAAATCGTACGCATACGAGTTCGAAAGAACGACATCGTCGAAATCGAACCATAGACACACGCGCGGCTTTGCTATATATACATCGCTCGATCGTCGAGAGATCTCCTACAAGAGAAAAAAGTAACAGGATTGTCGTCGCGATAGCTCGATGCACTTTTGCTCGAGCAAACAGCTCTCTCGCTCGCGACGGTCCTTCTCTTCTCGAATCTCTGTAATACATGCGCGCGCGCGCGCGCGCGCGCGTGTGTGTTTGTGTGTGTGTGTGGGATATTGGCTCTGGTGAGCTTTCCTTTGGGGCAAGCGTGATGTATATATAACGTTCGGATGTAGTGACAAGAACAACAAGAAAAAAGTAAGAAAGGAAAACGAGGCTCTGGTGCATTATACGCGCGTTCGAGCTCTCCGAAATTTCTGCACGATGCACGTGCATCAAAGCCGAAAAACAATTTCCTTCGCTCTCTCTCTCTCTCTCTGTCTGGAAAATCGATCGTCCGCCGCCGCGTGCAACACGCCGCTACGACTATATATATCTATACACGAATTTGCCTTTCGAAAAAGGTGCATCCCGTTTGCGCGCACCTTTAAAGTCGGCCTGTATGCCGCCGCCGCTACTATGCATATTTTGCACACGTATAACGATTCGTCGACTGCCGCAGCTGCAGCTGCACATAGATTCGCTCTCGGGGCTCTCTCTCTCTCTCTCTATGCTCAGCGCTGCTGTTGCACTAGAGTACGTGTGGCATTGCGCAACAGTTGGCACACTGCTGCAGGCGCCTCTCTCGCTCGCATACACACATACACACAGACACATACGAGTTCTCTAGCTGATGTACTTTTACGTAATGCCTTCTTCCATAATGACTAAGTATTGGGCTTATACGCTGTCGCTCCTATATTATGCATATAATGCACACACATGCATCGCGAGGGGATACACACATATGTACGAGTAAAGATCGATCGATTCCTTGCGCAATTGTGCCCTCATCCCCCCTATATATTTTAAGTCGTTGTAATAATCACACGTATAATACGACTACTATATGCGTGAAAACAAAGACGATGATTAATAATTGTTGTTGTTTTTTTTGTTACACACAGATCGAAAGCTGTTCGTGGGCATGCTGTCGAAAAAGTTCACGGAGAACGACGTGCGCAACATGTTCGACGTTTACGGCGAGATCGAGGAGTGCTCGGTGCTGCGGGAGAACGGCCAGAGCAAGGGCTGCGCCTTCGTCACGTTCGCCAGCAAGCAGTCGGCCCATCTCGCCATCAAGGGCCTGCACCACTCGCAGACCATGGAGGTGAGTTGATAATAATATTTTATTTTTCGCGTTGCATCCAAGTGGGTCGAGGATCCTGTAAACCTACGTGTATGTACACGCGTGACACGCGTAAAGTGCCCATAGCCGCGATGATGTCTCTCCCGCTTCGACTCAACGATACGTCGATCCATTTGACTTTATGCAAAGTGCTGCTGCTGCAGCAGTGTGTGCTCTTTTTCTTAGCGCGCGCGGCTGGCGTGCAAATTTCCGCTGCTCGCTCCTCGCGTGTTGTACTACTATACGTATACGTCTTTGTTCTCCGTTAAGGCTTTCTCTCTCGCTCTTCTGCGCCGGAAGGAGTGTCGCGTTGTTATACTGTATAGTATACGCAACGCATACTACTCACGTTGCAGCAGCAGCCTCAGCGTTGCATATCGGGCATGCAGGCCGCGTCCGCCGCCACAGCCACGGCCACGCATGCATTATATATTATATATATACTATACCATAGCAAGACCGCAAGGTGAATTTATGGTGTATATATCTTTATATCCGCAAGCAGGTGCCACGCGCAGAATCTCTAAACGCTCGTCGTCGTCGTCTTTTCTTCTTCTTTTTTTTTTTTGCTCGTTGCGTGCACGCTAGCCCCGGTATCTTCCGTTCGCCATATAATAAACCTACGAGTTCGCCTGACCATCTTAACGCAGTCGTCGTCCCACGTAATGTGCGAGACGCAAACCTTTGCGTTATATCGTATATATAGGCTCGCGAGCAGTGCGTGAAATCCGCTGGCTCGCTGCCCAATAGTTCTCTCTCTCTCTCTCTCTCTGTCTCTCCGAGAGCAAGCGATATACTGATTTAAACTCGTCTCGACGCTCGGACACGTTTTGTACAAGCTTTTAGCCGTTTAGGCCAGCAGCCGCCGCCCTGCCTGTGCTGTAAGAAAGAAAAATGAGCCGCGCAGAGAGAGGAGAAAATTCAGAAAGCTTTGCAAAGACTTAACGACTTGCGTTGAACACGCATTTATATATACATACCGTATACACGATTTCAACTCGCACTCGGCCGACGCCGCGCGCTTGCAAATTAAGCGCTTAATGCCGTGCTACACTCGTGCGCAGCCCTCGCGCGAACCCTGCTGCTGCTGTATTACTCGACGACTCGTGTCTCGGGATTATTCGCGCGCGGATAACAGCTTCATCCAACGTCGCGTTTAACCGCGCCTGAGCTACTGATTAATAAGAATTTTAACGCCTGCCGAGCGGTTACTCGTTTCGCGCGCCAGTTACGCGTTCGGTTCGATCGCAAAGTGGGCGAATAATTCGCGCGACGTTGACAAAACGTTCGGTCGCTTTTCCGTTTTGTAATCGATTTGACCATTATTTGACGCAGGGATGCTCGTCGCCTCTGGTGGTCAAGTTCGCGGACACGCAGAAGGACAAGGACCAAAAAAGGCTACAGCAGATGCAGGCCAATCTCTGGAACATTGCTGGTGTCAACATGAATCCCCATTACATCGCGGCGGTAAGTCGTGTTAATAAGGCACTACTCTTCGAATTTTGCAATACGATCTTAATTTTTTTTCCATCCAGAACGAGACGCCGGCCACGATAAGCCCGGCGCAGACGTCGCTGCAGCTGCTGCAGCAGTTGCAGGCGACGACGAGCGCCGCGGCGACGCCCGTCGCCCCGAATCCCGCGCCCTCGAACGCCCTGACGAGCGTGCAGCACCAGCTGCTGCTCCAGCAGCAGTTGGGCCTGAGCAGCGTGGCGCCGACGACGCCCCAGCAGGCCAGCGTGCCGACCGTGCCCGAGATCAGCTCCGCCAATCTTCAGAGCCTAGCGCAGCTCGCGTCCCTCGGCAGCTCGGCCAGCGACTACGGTAGGTGGTCTTTTCTTTTTTTGGGCCCGATATACACCGATGTATGAGTGAAAATTCACCACGTTGATTATTGCAGCTAATGCCGGAGTTTCGCCGATCAGCATGCAGAATCTCGTTACTCTCGCTGCTATGACGGGTGGTACTAGTAATCTGCAAGTCTCGCCAAACAGTGAGTACAGTAAGGGATTTTTTCTTTTTTTTTTAACACGCGATAAACTTTTCTTCATCGCTACATGAATTTTTTATAATTTCATTACTTTAATTTTCAACTTCATTTTCACCGGGATTACGATTTGATTACTTTTTTCTCTTGAGCTAGCTCAAATAAATTTAATTAATCGTGACTTATATGGTACATGGGATAAGATAAAATGATTAAATTCATTCTGTCAAGCATTTATATTTAATTATTACATTTGCAAATGTGTTTTAGCGCTTAATGGATTGGCCAATTCTACAGCAGGTATGTCACTATGTACGTGTCGCATTGCCTGGTATAGTATTAACCATTACTAAATAATTAAAACAAATTTTTTTTACCTTTCATCCTTTTTTTCTTCGCGAGTACTAAACGTGTTTATATAAAGATATTGCCGATCGTCGAGTTCCTTTTTTTTCGATAAAATCTTTCTTTCAGTATTAATTACCAATAAAAAAAAGAGAGTGCATTTGTTAATAAAAAATAAACTTTTTTCCTGCCTGACATTCATCACTCTCACATGAAAACAAACAATATAACAGCAGCCCTCCTCGGAAAGACAGGAAACACAGGTGAGACCCGAGAGCTTGGACTCAAGAAATCGTTTGTTGTAAACAGTTGGGCTGTGTAGTCTTTTTGGACTTGTGTATTTTTTTTTCTTAAATCTTTAAACTCCTAACTTATTTCATACATTTTATGAATATGTATTGGTTTTATTTATTTTTCCTGGGTAATTATTTATTGAAGTACAAGGTTTCATACTGCATTATTTTCTGCCGTTCATACATAGCTTGATGAAATAAACATGTATACACTTTTAACTCAGCACTAATAAGTCTAACGATTTGACGAAACGATTTACCAAAGTATATTGCTTGCACTTCATTTTTATCCCTGTTATGTTTTTTTGATACTACATTTTAAGTAAAGTCAAGCCGGCTTTACTTTTAGATTGAAATTTTCATATAGATCAGCATGTCGATTGAATAGCAATTAAAACATTGCTACTCTATTTTACTTCATTTTTTTGTGTAGCTTTATTGTTAATAAATTTATCTATCATTAGCATTTTTTATAAGAAAAACGCCGTCTTCGTGACTATAGAGATTTCTGATGAAATTTCGAAATGATAATGTTTAGAAACAATGATTCGCCTTCATACCGATTGAAAGTTTAAACTCAATCAAAATATCTTAACAATTGCTTTTTTACTCACACAAAACTGGTACGGCGCATGCTTTGTTACATATTATTATATGTACATGTAAATTTTGTACTATCTCGTTATGTATTATTATCGTGCAAAAATTAATTTTACATTCTCAAACCGTAGCGTATACAAATCAGTCTTGTGTAATTTTATTACGTGCTGAATAACAAACAAAAAAATACCTGCAACTGAGATTCTTTTAACTAAACGCAAAAAAAATTATTTTACAGGGTCATCCGGCGGCAGTTTGAGCCCTGTCACTTCATTGGCGCTAAATTCGTTGACAGGTGCGCCGCTGAGTGGACTCCAAGAATCACTGAGTAACGCCTACTCAAGCTTGCAACAATATGCAGGTGCGCACAATTTCTATTTTATAGTCGGATACATTGTCTTTGCCGATGACAATAGTTCGATTTTCATTGAAAGAAAAGTACGCGCGGATTTCAATGAGACTATAATTTTAATTTTAAAAATCTGTATATCTGTGCATTACTAAAGCTCTCATTGGAAAAACTACGGTCACTGTGGAAAAGAAAGAATTACACAGTAAGTAACAAAGTGAAAAAAGTTGGCAAAGCTAATCTGTAAAACTGTTTTTTTTGTGTAGAATTTTATGTAACTCTTTTGAAAATTTGCCGCTTTACTCTAAATATTACGGTGAAATTCATTTCATTCTCATTTAATAGTATTTTACTCAACTATTAGAATCTTTGGAATAGTGCTGTCTTCGTATACTTTTTGCTTTTTATTATTTTTACTTTAGTTAGAATGATTGTTCTCATTTTCCGAAAAGCAATCGTACATTTTGAATAATAAAGTACAATAATTCTTATTAATGTAATTGCCTTTTTTAAGTTGTAAAAATGAAAGTATTTAGGAAGAAGTAGCTTGTCTACGTATCGACACTGATTTTTATTTAAATGAGATGAACTTATTCTGCAAGCATATTGAGATTGTGAAGCCAAACCGTTATTTCACATCCGAATTTAGACGTGTGTTTTTTTGATTTTTTACTCTCTAGGCTATATGAACCGTTATAGAATATTATTCCGCTTATCTTGAGTTGCGAGTTGAGTTGAAATGCACTCGAAACTTTTGTACGTTTTATCTTCATGAATTGAGAAGAATTTTCATCGGACACAAACGATAAAATCCGCTCAATGCCTTTTTGCAGGGTTTCCTGCATTTACCACAACTGCATCAGTACCCACAACGCCAACCTTCAACGATTTCCGTTTGTTGTCTAAACAAATCGAGGGTCCCGAAGGTTGCAACTTGTTCATCTATCATCTGCCGCATACTTACACGGACACGGATCTTATAACGATGTTCATGCCGTTCGGAAATGTGCTCTCCGCCAAGGTTTTCATCGACAAGGAGACCAAGAAGAGCAAATGTTTCGGTGAGTATACTGTCGACAATACGACGAACCGCTTCCTTTTTATTTTCTCTTCTCTAATTCGACCCATGATTTTCTCGATTTCAAGGCTTCGTTTCGTACGACAAGGCGTCTAGCGCTCAGAAAGCTATACAGATGATGCACGGCTTCCAGATCGGCACCAAACGACTTAAAGTTCAATTGAAGAAGTCGAAGGATAACTCCAAGCCTTACTAGCCCGGTGTCGACGATTTTCCCATTAGTAGGTACTACACACACTAGCACTGGTCAAAGATTCTGCGTCCAGTCGAGCCAACTCGGCTCTGCTTGGCTTCTCCTATTTCCCCATTGCCAATGAAGAAGACCCCAAGCGGCGCCGAGTTATCTCAAACGACCAGAGTCGTCAAATTATCCCCCCCTGTCAAAGGGCGGATAAAACTTGGAGTAACTTGAATTAATAATGGTTAAGAAACGAGGCTCGTGTTGATAATTACGAAAAAAAGCTCGTGTGTCAATTTTAGTTCTTGTTAAATATTTTCATAGGTAAATTATGAAATTGTGTTCAATTTTCCTCACGATCTTCAAGTGGATATTTTTACTTAATTTATAAGTAGACATTCGAATTTCAGTTACTGAAATAACATCTAGTCAAAATTTTCAGTATTAGAGTACATTACGATGTTTTAAGATACCAAAATCTCTCAAAGTTCCTTTTTTTGAATCGTACAATTACATTTAAACACCTCGTATACACATAATAGTCATTCGTCACTGATAATGGTATATCGAACTTAATATTTATGTATACTAAGCGCAGCTGTGATATACTTGAAAGAAAAAAAGCACATCTGGTGAAAATAGGATAGAATACAAATTAAGTTAAAGATTTCTTGCTATGAAAGCTGTATACGTTTGGGGAAAAATATCTCGCACTCTATACAAATCATTTGCTGAAAAAAAAGGATGGAATTTATTATTTTTTCCGCTGAGATGCGTGATGTTAAAGTTAGATTTCATTGTTGCAAGTGTCCAATACCTCGTGGAGTATGAATATAAAATGAACAATCAACGGGTTTAATCTGATGTTCCATACGCTCTTGTTGCAGTTTTTTATTGCAGACAAATAAAACCAAACTGAGTTTTTATCGCACTCTTTTTTGTTGACAGTTTTTCACATTTCCATTTTGTCATTGAAATATAACTTAATCCTCTTGTTCATTTATATCAAAGATTTGATTGTCGTCTGAATGAACTATTGAACAAAAATTTTACGCCCGTCACTTTTTTTGTCAATGACAGTTACGTCTCTATCTTCATTTTCTTTTCCTTTATTTTATTTCAATGGTTGATGATTAGACTTTGTTTATTGTAATGTATATTTTTTTAAAAACTAACGTCATCTACATCTTAACACGACGCAGTTACGTTGTACTTGATTTTCTTTTATATAATCAAGCTTCCTCTCTCTTCTCTATCAATTTTTTTTCTTGATAGTAAAAACTCGCATTGTCGTAATGTTAAAACACAAATAAGAAATGAATATTATAAATTACATAAAAAATAATTTTGGGATTTTCTGTATATCGAGCGTTGCTTTTCTTATTAATCATTTGGCCAGTATTTCTAATTACTCGGCTTTAAAAAGTGCTGATTAAGTACTACAGGGGGCCAATTTTTAAAACAAACCTGAAAAAGGAATTTTTCAATGTGAAAATTTTTAAATTTCACCTATATTTTTGTTCTTAAAAATACAATAATCATGCCTCCTCCTTCCATGAAAGACTGACTTTAATTACTTGAGTGTGATCTATTTGTGGTTATTTTTGTTTATTATTTGTTTAACAAATTTATTTACTCTTTCGTGACGCCTTATACAAGAACATGTACAGTATACGACATAAACAATTATCGCTGTTATTCTATCGAGCAAACTAATAATTATTGTTTCACGCTTCTTTAATGATTTTTGATATTTGTCTTGTTGCCATATCATGGTTTCGATTGTAGAATATTATTTTGTTATTTTATACCTGCGAATATTTGAGTAGTGAGCTATTCGTTACCTAGCGCCAACATGTTGCCTTCAAATGCTTTTTATGTCTAATTTTTTCAGGGAAACGTTTTTTTTTTTTTTTACATAATCTAGCAAGTTTCGTCTAATTCAACAATTGAATTTGCCTCTAGAAAATTATTTATTAGAAATTTTGCAGTTTTTTAAAGAATAAATGTCATTACGAGCTATTTTGGACACGGAGTGCTCCATAATGTTACTGAAATTGTGTAAAATTATATAATCAATGCTATTTATACCCATGCAGATCCTCGTTACAATGATCGTAAGAAAATTTTTTTATGTTCTTAAACAGTGTGTGTTATGTTGAATTGTTTTTATCACAATGTATTACTATATGTAATGAATTTTTGAGAAATCACCCTAATTTCGTAAATCATGCTTATTAGATAATTTTGTATCACAAATGCTATTTTCCTCCGTCCGACGTAAATTACACGCAAATTGTGTTATAATAAAATTAACGCTTACGCATCGATATTTTAACGAGGATCTACTGTTAATTGTATATTACTATTTTTTTTTATTTATCCAGTGTGGTGGTGACTAACCTGTTCGTGTGTTTGTTTTTTTGTGTTTGCCAGCAGGTGGCCTGTGACGTTGTGACCGTGTACACACTATTGAGCGGAGTCGCCATGCCATGTCTGTTTCTCCGTAAAAAAAAAACGAAAAAACGATCGGACTTTGCTGCGCTTAAACTATCGCACGATCCGATCCTTGATCTCTTCGCTCTTGGATTCCACATACGTCATTATTATTTATTTAAGAAGACATACATTCTACTTTCCCATTTCTTTCTCTCTTTCTTTTTCACGATCTTTGCATTTTTATACTTATATTCGTTTCTAGCCATCTCTATTGCTCTCATTTAATGATCAATCTATTATTACATTTATCATCATTGTACCAAAAAAACGTGCAAGCACATGTATGTGTCGCCAAAAACGAAAAGTACCCTCACAGTGTAACTAGACATCAGTTAACTATTGAAGATAAACATCTAAAAAAACAAACGTGATTGTAAATACGCATTAATATTGTATTGTAACAGCTAAAATTTTAATCTTGAAAAGGTTGACCGTAACTCCCAAATTTCTGTCTCCACTTTTCACTAGTATACACCAGACACCTGTTATGTATGAATTTGTGGGAATTTTTTTTCTTTCATCGTAAAAAATTTGCGCTATTGCACTTGTTTATTTGTTTTTCGTAGAAAAGAGTATTGATTTTTATGTAAGTGGTAAATTTATAACATTAACGCGAAAAGGTTGGCTGATCGGGTTTGATTCAATGAAGGACAACAACGGTGATTGGACCATAGCTTTAAACAAGTTCATTAAAATGAGAGAACGAGAGTAGAATAGAAATGAAAAAGTATATGTGTATATTAAGACGTGGCTAAAAAAAATAATTGCGATTGTTGTACGTTTTTTTTATAATGAAGCTCTGTACATAAGCAACTTTATATGTATGTATATGTTTCTATGCCTGTCATAAATATGTGTGGGTATGTATGCACAGAACAATACAATGTTTGAGCTGTGACTATAATATTAATAGAAAAAAAGTGTATAACGTCATTCTGACGTCAAAATTTCTTCAATACAACGGAATACATGCATATTTTTTTTTGTAAAATAATGAACGTTCGAGTATTATGTAACATACAATCGACGACTGAGCTACTTATAATATGACAATGCGTAAAATCGTAAACAAAATATCATTGAAAAAGAAAGAGAGAAAAATTTAGAAAAATGATAAACCAAAAATAATAATAGTATTGAAGGTATGCTCGCAGAAATCCGGTATACTGATATTCACGGTGCGACAAGAGAGAACAAATTTTTTTCTCAAAAAAAAAGACTCTGTAATAAGAATGTAAAAAAGTAGCAAGATGAAAAAGTTAGGAAAATTTTTTAGATCGCAAGTGTTTATATACGAATATATAAATAATAAATACAGAAGAGTAAAAAAATATATTATAGTGATATGAGACATATATTGTATAATGGAGTTTTATCGAAACAAAGAGAACGTATGACGTTCATTTATTGTATAGATATATTTTCTCTCTGGATAATTCGCTAATACAGAAAATTATTCACTATGACTTAGTGAAGATTACTATCTTAACTGTAGAAATGCGATCGAGTAACGAAAAAAGTTAACCTCGTAATGGATCGAAATCCATAAATTTTTTCCGCTGCATACCTGATTTTGGTGGAGTGAGAAACTGTTCCTAACACCCAAACGTATGCAACTAATTTTTAGTTTCTTTAATTCTAAGAAATAACTTGAACGTTTAATATTAATGATAATAGATTTTTTTGTAACTGATAGTATTGAGAAAATACTTTTTGTGGCTCACGAACTGTCATTTAACTTCGTTTACGTGAATACGTGAATTATACAAGACGGAGAGAGAAAAATTTACCGAAAAGTTACCAGAGATAACGAACCGGATGACCTTGCGAGTCAAATTACGTACGATAGAGTCTCTCGTAATTTGTTCAAATTTTGGGTTATTACCCGCTTACAAACATATGTTTTCTATTTTAACAAAATTTTACTACCCCTCGTTAATGTTGAAACTTGTTGCCACCGTATTTTTCTATATTTTCACTATACTGTATCTTTTGCTGTCGTAATTATCATGTATGTTGTATGGTAAATAGTTCTACATTTTTTGAAGTTCACGAACGGTTTTTGATGTTCTTACATTTATATATGAATCTATTATATATATGAATTTCTGTAGCTTTTTAACTTTTTCGTATTTTTTCGTCGAGACAATCGAAAAACTTCATGAAAGCATGTTTGTCTTTTTAAGCACGTTTGAACATTTTAATACTTATGTCCGTCTTCGTAAATACATTTTTCTGTACTTACGGTGAAAACTAAGCTCGTTCTTTTTTATATAACTTCTGTCAGTTTGTATAATCATTCTTCTACGTGACTTATTTCAATGGATAAAAGTAATGTCAGATTTTTTTCAATCTTGTATGAACTAACATTTATGTCATATTTGTAAACGGTACAAAAATGTATGTTTCGTGGGTGAATACCAAAGACGTGTCTTAAATAATCTATATGCAAAAACCAAACTACACATCTAGAAAGTACTTCAAAATACTTTGATAAATAACCAATAAAAGCACTAACGTTTGCAGTTGAATATAAGTGAAAGGAGAAAAACAATATACATGATTAAGCACGGAGTGTTTGGGTGAAGAATTTTCGCATTACTTACCGCCAATATAGATTTGGGTTTTGTATGCTTGAATAGATGCCTCAATTTTTATATCTAATAATTCGTTATTTCTGAAGTAACAGTTGCATCGTTTATTATTATTCTACAACAAGATCAGACATTGTATCTTCTCTCTCTCTTGTTTGTGAACCCACGTGCGCACGTCTTGATTATTCTAAACATAATCGAACAGTTCAATATTATTTTCTACGTGACAAACTCTTGTAGCCTCTTTTTAAGAATTAAAACACATTACATAGTAGATTGATGAACAAGAGTTAAATCAAGTGATAAACATTTGTTGTTATCATCGTCAACTGTGCGAGTATCACGTTGCTGTTACTATATTGTTATATTAGTTAAGGTACAATTATATTAAGCTATTGTTAAAATTTTTTTTGCTTAGGTATTATATGAAAAATCTGAATGTAGGTATATGCCGTATTTAATTTACCATGTACGATTCCTCGTTTTACAGCACTAAACGTTCGTCATTAGTGGTAATGTTAAATTATTGATAATTATTATTATTAATAATGTATTTATTGTGTACAAACGTTGAGCTGAACACAATGCTTTACCTTCTGAGCTATTCGTAACTTAATTTCTCGATACGCACCTTTTTTCATTACTTAAGAGCAAACTACAAAAGTTTTAGTTTTTTTTTTCTTTTCTTAAGCAATGCGAGTGAATAAGTGCACACGTTTAGGATAAAATCACAGAGTGCTGTAATCATTGCTGGATAAATATGTTTAACTTAAAAATGTAACGAGTACTTACGTGCAAGTATACTTGGTGGTTTTTCAACCGAGGAAAGAGTCATATAAAGTAGTTATATGAATTAAGCGTGATTTCACGATGAACCCCGTTTCATCAATAGATACTTATGAGTTTACCAAAGTAAAAAAAAACTATTAAAAGTACTATAGATTTTATGCGAGGTTCGTTTGTTTACATACACCGCCATAAATAAAGAAAAGAAGGTCTTATGTTTGAACATTGAATTATTAAATTTATAATTCTTATTATATTTCTTACTGTTATGTTATAGTGACAGCGATTGTAAGGGCCTTGCAAATGATCATCTCATTAAATTCAGTCCACATTAAGCTAAACGAACAATGATTGGTTTTCCTAATCAAAACCTTAATAATTAATCAATGATCATACGAAAAAGTAATTATTAGTTTACGTTCTGTATAAAATAAATACCATTGAATTGATAAGATCTTATTTGCAAGGCCAGTTTATATGAAATTCATTTTGTCTGACATGGTCAGCTGTGGTATGATGAAAAAAAATTTTTTTTTGTATTTATTTACATTTTTGAACATGGAATTTTGATTGATTTTAAGTTTGTATACCATTCACGCAGATCAGTCACGAACGATATAAAAGTAGTTTTGTGTGAAATCTGGTCTCACCGTAGCCATCATAATAAAGAAATTCTTTTTTTTCTTAATTCAGTTTGTTTTTTTTTCTATCGGGCACGCCGTATTAGCTCTTACGACATAGGTTTAGTAATTTTGCCAAGAAATAAGTAAACTTAATTATCACGAAAAAAAGTACTTTAATAAATTGGTAAAATTTACTTCCTACGTTGATTGTGTAATGACCAAATTACGATTCTTTTCAAATTTTTCTAGAAACTTTTACGTATTGCATTTCAATTTTAAGAAACAGAGTAGCTAACGTGCAATATGCAAAAGTTCTCTAGTATAGATATACTTATGTAAAAAAAGAAACTTTGCAGCAAAGATTTACTTAAGGAAAATTGTATAAAAATTACCATTTTTAATATTATCGTTGTTATTATATTTACCCCAAGGTAAAATATTTCCGGCTAAGTGCGACAACGCGTAAATATGATTTAAAACGAGGTGTGTACGAGTCTCCGAAATTGTTGTCACATCTAAATTATTCTCCTTATCGGTTTGAAAGACAAATAAGCGACTTTTGCAAATAGCTATTTTTGTAAAAAAAAAAAACTACCAAACATCAACATTCAATATCTGTCGCTACACAATTTACTCTAATGCGTCATATCTCTGAAACTATGTGTCAGTGTAAAAAATAGTCACTTATATCTTGTATTTTTACTTCTTATGCATATGAGCATTCATGTTTCACGGTAGGGTGAATAATATTTGAGGTGAAAAAATTAACGCTTTTCATGTTGCGTTAAAGCGTCAAAGCCGGTCTTAAAATGGTATTTTTGCGTTTCCTTCTTTATAATTTTTATTCTGTTACGATTGTAAACTCGAAATAGAAAAAAAATTAGTTATGACTTTGTGACATGTCAATAATAATATATATTTTTCGTTTAATATTTTATTAATATCTTTTATGCTTTAACTTTATTGTATGAGTATTTCATGCACAGTCCCATCCACGCTCTATCCTTTTTCCCCATGGAATTTATTTATTTTACTTTCATTTCAATATATTTCAATTAAATTATAATGCAGTATATATTCAATCGAATGAACTTTTTTTTTAAAACAATATAAGGAGTAACTTCACTTTTTACCATCGGTTTTTCATACAGCAAAATCAAGAGCCAAATCATTTTACGCGAGAATACGAAAGATGAGATGCAAATAACTCATATAAATAAATTGTCACATAACAGTATTCTAAAAGGTATAAAATATATGTGTAAAAAGATGAAAAAAAACTTATTTATAAGTAATGTAAAAATGTATGTACTTGATTAGAGAAAAAAATTAAGATCTTTAAATTAAAAGAAAACAAACACTGATTGCTGATGGAAAAATGCAGTATAAATAAGACTATATTCGCTTTGCGTTAATAGACAAAGATTTAAATATGAAAAATAGTTCATTTTTTCAAATGTGACTTGGTAAGTCTTAGCACATGTATGTTCTTTACCTATGATTATATAACGATGTCTAAATAGTGAAAAACAATTTTAGATTTTATACATTATGCTAAAAAAATGTGTGACAGTATTAAAAGAAAGTTTCAAGTGTGAAGAAAACTGCTGAGTGAGAAAAAATTAAAGCAACTTTGAGAAGGCTGAGTATGTAAACACCTAGTTAGATTGACAAGTTAATGAATCATATTCAAAACATGTTAATGAATCGTATAATCGTGTAATAAAAGGTATTTTGCAAGTAAGCTCAAGTATTTTTATTCATAATCCAATCCCTTTTCTTTAAATTTCCAATAATTTTATTAATCGTTAGTAAGAGATATAAAAAAAAATCAAATGAAATTAAAGTTATTATTGATAATAAATACAAAAAAAATAATAGTATCCACTGAATTAACAACCTACTATTAAATGTTATAACAAACTAAACATAATTGTAAATCCTAACATGTTCACATTGAAAGCATACAATTAGGCTCACACAAGTAATTGGCATGTTTAAAAAAATATGCTTAAATATAGTTGCTATGTGACTTGTTTGTATTTGACATCTAAACTCATGTGAGATAAGTTTTAATGCTATTGTACATAATGTTGGCATTGATTTACAAAATGTATATCACGGAGATCATTATAAAACACAATAAGAATACAATGACTTTATAAAACAATTAAAATTGGTATATATCAAGAGAAACGCAATAGCATTTCATGGTAAAGAAACTTAATAAAAATGACACCTTTGGATCAATTTGATGCTACCTTCTTCTCTCTCCTTTAACAGTTTTACGTTTTTCTTTCTTTTCTTCCTTCATTATTTTCTGTTTTTCTCTGAAAAAAAAAATGAATCGATTGAAATAATTTTCTAAGATGTTTTTTCTAAGGTATTCTAAAAACAAAATTTTTAGATACCTGTCTTCTTTATCCTTTTCTTTTTTCTTCATACTTTCAAGTTTAGCTTGTTCTCTTCTCTCTTTTTGTGCTTGAATTATGTTGGCAACGTTTGTATTCTTTTCTAATCCAGAACTACCACCTCCACCACCGCCACCTTCTTCAACATAATCACCGTCGCTTTCGTTATCATCTGACATTTGACTGTATTGTGCTAAAATTGCATCTCGAATTTTTTTGTCCTCCTCTGTGTAATGATTTTTGTGTGAGGTAGTGGCAAGACTTTGAGATTCAAGCAAGCGGGCCAATCGCACATCAACATCCTCTTTTGGTGTATTATCAACTGGAGTTTCTATTGGTTGATTCATTTTGGCCCATGCTTCCAAAATTTCATTTACATGTTTGAAAATATTCTCTGCAGTAGCTTCATTCTAGAATAACACAAATGCAATTGTTAGTATAGATTCTATTATTCCAGAGCAATGGATATTAAGCAACACTACTGATTGTCAAATTTGTAAATAAATCTTTAAAAATAACAAAAATAATTTTCAAAATCGGTGAACAAGCTATTGAATGATTTGAAAACAATAACAAAACACAAAATAGTGGAAATTTTAAGTCAACTCGAAGAAGACAAAGAATTGGCATATTAACCTGCTAGCACCCACGCGTAAGTGTTTACTGTACGAGTATACATACCGTGGCGCCGGAGAGTAACGACTCGAGCCCTTCTCTCTTCTCGTCGTCGGATTCATCGTCCTCGAGTATGGAGCGTATGTAACTACTGAAGACACTCTCGTCGACCTCCAACTCGCCGAGTTTTGTGTTTAACCAGCTATCGAAATTATTATTTTCACCGAAGCTGACAGATTCGGTAGCGACCGCCATCGCGACGACGACGACTCTCACTCTCTCGCCTCTTTAGGTTATGGATGCAAGCATATGACTGCGAAATCGATGTGTGTATATTTATAAATCTCAGCCGTGGGGTTTTGAGAGAGGTAACTTGCCACTGCTGATTCCTATTTCAACGGCACAAGTTAAAGAGCGTCTGCTAGGAATTTTTCGATCGAGCGCTAATGCCCTCTTTGGCCAGTAGGAAGTACTCAGAAGGACGGTAAACATGTAATGGTTTTCCATAGAATCGTGCCGTTTAAATCTGCTGTAAATATTTGTTCATCACGAAATCTCATGATTTTTTAAATGCTTCGGTAAACTAAAAAAATTGTTTTTTTAATTGTATTGACACTAATTAAATAGCTATCGATGTCAATGTAAGTTTACACGCTGAATCTCGTGCATGTCTCATGCAATCGGTAAACTCTCGAATATTTATCAGAGAAAATGTTTTTTTCCGTCTCCATAATTAAATTAAATTGTAAAACTTATAAATTTAAAGCTACATTGCTGACAGTGGTCCAATTAGGTGCACTCATCCGAAGATTGGTCATTTTTGAGGCGTGCAGCAGCAAATAGTTCCTGGGATTGAGTTCTATTTATAACAGCGATTGTCTGAGGTATAATCTCACAATACTCATGCACAAGTTAATAATATCTTATTTAGCACAATCAAAAGTAATTAATTAACATTAACCATCATAAGTAGAAACTCAGACTTGGCTCCTCAACTGTAATGGGTAAACTGATTACAAAGGAAATTGGAGGTAAAAAAATTATCACAATCGTTTCTGTTCGATCAAAAAAGTTTGTTTTAATATATTTTAATTTCACACATTCCATAATATCAATATACACATGACATAAAAATTTGAATGTTAATTCTTCGAAAATGCATACACAGTGTAAGCGTCCATTAAATGGATCGTCAGTAATGGTGAATGAAAATATTTGCATACGCTTAATTTTAAATATATTTACACACGAAAAGACGACAAGTACTTATCATTCTCCATTATATACGTACGTAATACACGAGTTCGCAAGAATGAATATTCATGAAAATGAGGCTTGGGAGGACAAAGACGAAACGTTTGTTAAGCTAATAAATATATTAAAAAACGCAATGTAAATGAAAGTTCTATAAGATGCAATAAATGATTTATTAGAGCTAAGCGATGCTGCTCACTCATGAGTATACGCGCAGACTTTTTGTGTTCCGCTGAACATCCTTTAATTCGCAGACTTTAAAATCGATTCCGTTTCATTGTTTTTTTTTTCGTCGTCGTCGAGCTTGTGCTTAAAGCCGAGGAACGCTCTTTATTTATCACCCACGCGAGCGCGTTACGCACAGTATACATGATCGTTGTTAAAAATTGTAACACGCGCAAGGTATTTTTTTTTCTCTGCTCCCAAGAATGTCTATGTATAATAATTACAGTCGTAGTGCTGGCAGTAAAATGCCATGCTCTCGAAAGCATAACAAAATAATATTCATTCATATGTATATTATTTATATGTTTAATAACTTACAGGTTGTATGTTCGTACATGCTTAATTTAACCGGGGGTCTTAATTCAACGAAATAATTAAATAACCGTACGTAGTTAATGAGGCGGTATTGAAATAACTTAAATTTTAATGACCGATGAAATATTTGATGAAAACGATGTTACTTTTATCGCTTTCTCGTCGTCATGATTTCAGTGTTACTATTTAATATTATTATAATCCATAATTATTCTCAATTATATCAAGAGATCCAAGTAAGACAGTGGTAGTTTAATATCACAATAAGACTACTCAGGCCTCGCGCGAAAAAACGGGGTCATATCGATTACGAAAGATTAATCCACTGGGAAATAACCATCAATTTAATTAAGACTTATCTTATTATAATTAGACTTTTTTCACTGATAATCAATGTGTATTATATATACATATTTGTATATATATTTCATTACTTCATTTATGTATATTTTATGTATTTTGTTTTCAGGAGTCATCAACAGAGACGGCGAACTTTTTGCCAAATTCGTCTAGCGTTAAAATACTTATTATACTATATAATGGGGGCGCGAGCACGCGCTTGGTCAAAAAGTTCTCTCGTCCCTCCCTACAGGCGACGCGATCATAATTGCGATATAAGCCATCGATTATTCGATTTACTCACGAAGCGAGCAAACGACAAACGTCCTGGCTCGCAGAAATACTTATCTCTCTCAACGCCGTCAACTATTTATTCGTATAATAATTTATAGAAATTCTCACACTTACAAAAAATCACACGCCGAATTTAGACTCAACGTAAAAGATTCGTGTATCGTATTGTTGCACTAAAGCTTGGATCGACATACATTATACACACGACAGTCGGACAATTAGCCTAACTAAACACTAGCTGCTTGATCGCTTTCGACAATTTTTCTTTCCTTAATTTTCTCATCGCGCGACCGCAGCGCCCGCAAACAAACTCGCACGCGAGCCAGCCATTTTTTTCATCCAGCGCCTAATTTTCCGCGGCAAACGAGTCCTTGTTCCGATGACAGGACTCGTGTACGTGCCACAAAAGACGACTGCGCTTTACCGTTATGAATATCGTTATCTTTATTAATATTATTATTAGCGTCAATGCACGAAAAAAAGAGACGAAACGAAGACCAAAAGAAAGGCGAGCAGGCGCAATGCGATTCCTCTTCGTCCACGATAGCATAGAATTGAAATGAACAGTCTTGATCAAAGCCTCGCAGCTCGCTCGCATCGACGCAGCACGCGCGCGCGCGTCTCTAATATTTTGTTCAACAAAGAGGCAACAAAAGTTTTCAACAATCGTATTTACGCAAGCTCGGAGCTGCAGCGGCGCGCTTCGGCGTCTAAAAATGGCTAGCCCGCACCCGACTTCAAGAGAGTATGTGCGGCAGAAACGTGCCGGAGTCGTCGAGGCTCGGCTCGAGGTTGGTAACGATGTCGCCCGTCGAGGCGTGCCTCGAGCTCGACGACTGCGAGCCCGCGGCGAGTGCGTGACTGGACGAGCCGCCGACGCCGCTCAGCTTGCTCTTCACGAGGTTGCTCTGATTGCTCTGGCTGCTCTGATTGGTCTGGGTCGATCCGTTGCTGGTCGCCACCTGGGCCGACTGGCTGAGATCGTTGCTGCTGTCGGTCGTGTCCAATCCCGAGATCTTCGAGGCGCACTTGCGATTCCGGTAGAGCCGGTAGAGCGCGTAGAACTGCTGCTCCGCGTGGTCGTCGACGCTCGTCTGCTGATGCTGCTGCTGGCTGCCGCTGTCGACGCGCTGTCGTCGGGCCGCCGCGTTGACGCTCGGCACCATGCCGACGCTCGTCGAGACGACGCTGCTCGTCGCTCCGGCCGTCTGGCCGTGACTGGGCTGATTCTGGTCGACGACGAGGCCCGAGCTCACCAAGCCGCTGCTGCTGCCCGTCATCGACATGCTCATCGTCGTCGACGAGGTGGACAGCTGATGCGAGGACGAGGAGCCGGCCAATAGCCACTCGTGGTTCATCGCCTCGTCCGGACTCATGCGCTTTTTAGCGTCCCATCTGCAAAAACGTGTATGAGTATCGACTGACTCTCGTTGGAATATGCTCAATTGGTTACTCACTCGAGGCATCGACTGACGAAATCGACGAAGAGCGGATCCCTGCACTTGAGGGCCAACGCGACCGACTTGCTTGCCGGCCTCCTTTTCTTACCCTTGCTGTTGGTCACGCAGCGAGGTTGACCCTTTGAATCTGCAGAAAAACGAGAGGAAAAGAGAAACTAGTTGTCGTGATTTGATCGTCGTATAGTCAGTATAGTATTACTCACCGAAAAAGAGCCTGCGCCTCGAGGCGTGATTGATGACGTTGTCTGGTGGCTTGCCGAGCACCTCCATGATGCAGGCCAACTGCTCGACCTCGTTCTCGCCAGGAAAGAGCGGATAGCCGGTGAAGAGCTCGGCTAATATGCAGCCGAGCGACCACATGTCGATCGGCGTGCCGTAGGGAAGGCCGAGTATCACCTCGGGACTGCGATAGAAGCGCGACTGTATGTAGGTGTAGACGCGCTGGTGGCTGTAGCACGACGAGCCGAAGTCGATGACCTTGATGGAGCTGCTGCCGCGCTGCTTCAGCAGTACGTTTTCCTGGCGAAAAAAAAATCGTTTTTATATAAAAAATAGTTTCTAACGTTTGTCGCTCGATCGTTGCGTCCCAACACTTACGGGCTTGAGATCGCAGTGGATGATGTTCTCACGGTGCAGCAGCTTCAGACAGCTCACCAACGAGCTCGCGAATCTTCGAATCAGGCTCAAGCTGAATCCCTGGTAATTGTTCTTCTTGATGAGCTCGTACAGATTTAAGCTGCACACAAAATAAAACGACGAAATTGTAACAGATTTTATATTAGGTAGAACTAGTACAAGTATATAGTGAAAAAATCGTCGTACCTCATAAGCTCGAAACTGATGCAGAGATGATTCCTGAAGTAAAAGTACTCGAGCATGTGTATGACGTTGTGCGAGTTGTTGGTCTCCTTGTCCTTCTTCCGGAGATGGTCCAGTATCTTGACCTCGATCAGGGCCTGATGATGGAAGCGCTTCTTGTTGCGTATGATCTTGATGGCGACGTTGTGGCCGGTCTTGTGGTCCAGCGCCCTGATCACCTGGCCGAAGCTGCCCTTGCCGATCACCTCCATGATCTCGTAGCGATAGGAGATGTGGTCGTGCAGCACCTTGTTGTAGCTGCCGTTGTCGTCGTCGTAGCCGCCGTTCTGGGCCGCTCCCTCCTCGCCGTGTATCTTGCAGGCCGACAGACCGAGATACCAGATCTCCGAGTACTTCTCGATCTCGGTGCGCTCGAACTCGGTCAGTTTCGAGCCGTAGTACTTCATCGCCTGCTCGGGCGTCATCGGGTATCGCTTGCCGCTGCCGCCGCTGTTGCTGGTGGTGGTGGTGCTGTAGGCCGTGCCGTCGGTCGTCGACGTCGTCGTCGTTTGCGCCGTTTGCGACGTCAACAATTGACCGGTGCTGTTGCTGTACGGATTGTCCTGCAGTTGATGATGGTGATGATGGCCACCGCCGCCGCCCAGTCCGACGATGTGGTTCGCGTTCGCGTTGTTGACGTTGTTGTTGTCCGAGGACGCGCGGTGGTGATCCAGCCGCAGGGTCTTGGAATTGCCGAGGCTCGGCAGTACCTGCGAACGTGATGAAAAAAAAACATCGTGTTATTATAAATTGTACAGACAGGCGTGTTTCTGCGGATTTTGCTTTTAATAAGGATACACTATGTACTATAATTTTCCCGATGAAAAGTCGGGGGAATATTACTTTTATCATCGAAAACGCTTATTAGCGCACACACGTACTTTCTCGGTAGAGCGGCATTAATTCGTAGAATATATAATACGAGCGTGCGGCTCCGTCGGCGTTGTATACCGAGAGCTGCGACGACGACCGAACGCCGCCACCGCGCCTGTATTATACGATTTTGTTTTCCATTCGCGTGTCCTACGGGCATTATGAATTCAGAGGGTTGCTTCTCTCTTTCTTTTCTTTCTCTCTCTCTAGAAATTGGCATGGACTTTTTTTATGTGTTTGTGTATGTATGTTGTGCGAGTGACGACCCACAGCTCGTATATATAGGCTCGGAAATTGCGGAAAGCAATGCTGCCTGCCTGCCACCTTCGTCTTTTATACATATCGATTCGATGCGTATCTACGCTCCTATGGGAGAAATTACGCTCCGAGGTTGTTGTTTTTTTTTTGGTTGTTCGCGAGTTGTCGAGGCTCTTTTGCCGATGACGCGCAAAAATTTTCTCTTTCTTTTATATTATTATTATATATATTTTTCGTGTACATAAACGATCGTTGTCACGCACACACATTGTCGAGCGACACACGCGAAAATCATCAAACGACTGAGAGAGAGAGAGAGAGAGAGAGAGAGACACGTACTTACGACGAATGCTCTACTCTCTGGATTTATATATTTGCAAAGAAAGAAAAGAAAAATGGTCAAGGTTATATTACGTGCAGCTCGAGCGCGAGATGCACAGCACCACTACAGAGAGTCGCGCGCGAAGCATGTACTCGGAAACGTCGATCAAACGGGCGAGCGAGAACGCGCGTAAACGCATTTTTTCTTTATTTCTCGGTACAGTCATTATTATTTATAAAACACACTTTTATACATATCGACGAGATATACGCGTCCATTGAGAGAAAGAGAGTCAAATGTACGTGTGGTATAGCGTGTAATACGACGTCGAGAGAGAGAGATACGCACAGTCGCGTGCATAATTGACGCGCGCATGCAATCGACGCTCTGCAGCAGCAGCTATCGTCAAGCATTAAAATTGCAAAAACCGTTTGCGAAATTATCCGCTCTCTCTCTCTCTCTCTCTCTCTCTCTCTCTCACGGACGGATGTAATTCGAGTCGTGCGTGTGTATGGGTGTGCTTTTACGATGAATTTGTCGCCGCCGCCGCGCGCACGCTTCGCCTTAACAGCACGCACGCACATAGACAACTTCATCCATCTCTCGGCTTATTAAATCTCTCTCTCTCGCTCTCTTTCTCTAATATATCTATTAGCTCTCGCATCTGCGAGTTGAGCGGCTGGGGCTTGTGCATTTACATAATACGCAGCGCGTAGTTTTCTTTTTCTCCGAGATTCTGCGCGTGCTGTCGTTTATTATTATACACTGGTCGGTATAGTAAACGACTCGATAATTGTCATCCGGGGTAAAATGAAGCCGGCGCTTTAATTCACAGAGAGAGAGCGAGGACGATTTTCCAATTGTAATTAGCGAGCGTGCGTATTATATCGACATTCGCATTGTGTAAAAAAAAAGTCCGAGGCAGTGGCAGTGCAGCATCGGTGGTATATATATAAACGACTCGAGCTGCAACGCAATTTCCTCGCAGTGAAAACAACATAATCGAAATGCGGGTAAAGAGCAAAAAAGAAAAAAGTCGAAGAAAAAGTGCTTATGTTTCAAGGCATGCTTGAATACACACACGGCCGTATATAACAGATAGCCAGCGAGAGAGCCGCGCGCTAAAGGAAAAATCATGTCGGGCTCTGAGTAAAAGTTTCAACATTTGTTTTCCTCGATCCATCTCTCTGTGATGTGTCTCGCGAGGTACGCACTTGGGAAAAAAGCTGCGTAAAGCAGCAGCTAACATATAGGCGAGAGAGAGAGAGATGATCTTGACCCCTTTTTCCGCTTCTCGCAACGAGGTCGGAAAAGTGCGTGTGTGTATGTGTATGCGAGTTGCAAGCAGCAGCTCGCGTGAATTATGCACTCTGCCAAGTGGATGAGAAAATTAATTGAGCGACTACACGTTTAATTATAAAACGCGCGACTGACCGGCTGCTGTCAGCTCTCTTATCACTGCGCCTCGGGAAAGAATTGTGCAAGCTACGCAGCTCGAGCGAGCTTTTAATACGTATATATATTCTCTTTTCTCCTTCTCCATCGAATTTCAATTGATTTATTTATTTTTTTTTCTTTCGGACTCGATTGACGGACGTAGCGCGGAGCAGCTTCGTAAATAGGTAAAAAGACAATGTAGGAGTAATGATGCAGGCTGTCAAGACGAGACAATAGGCCAAGAAGAAGAAGAAGCGAGCTTGCGAGTGGACGCTTATGCAACGCACGAATCATTTTGACATGCCGTCCATATAGATCGCGCCTTAACTCGACACGTATAGGTAGTATACAACAATAACAATATTATGATGTATAATATAATACACAAGGTATGTGAAGCAGTCGTCGTCGTTGCGAGTGGACACTACTATATGCATCGATTTATGCAGGCCAGCAGCTCTCCACGCCGCTGCGCTGCGCTGCCATTATTCGTTTCCTATTGTTAAAGTGTACGATACGTACGTACCGAGGCTAAGGATACATTTACACGCATGCGAGCCGCGCGTCGTGTTTAATTACGAAGGAATGCCCGCAAGGCTTTGCGTAACGATATATATACCAAGAGTCCATGTATCGTACAGGCGAACATAATGTAATGCGAATATAATGTTTTGAAGGGAAAAATCGCATCTTATCGAGCGAGAGACACGCCCACCAAAAAGCTCGCAAAATCACTGCCTCGGATATCTCTTTCGATTTAGTTTCTTACTGTCGCTGATCTGGCTCGCACGCACAGAAGCAGCTGAGCTGTTACAGTGTATAGTTGCACGTATTATTTCACGCTCGCGCAAGATCGCTAGGTCGCGTCTCTCTATATACGGGGCAATTACAGCGTGCAATATCGCATTATCCTTGTACACAGTGCGTATACGTACGTGCAGTAACGTCTCGCGGATCGCGTTACCAATTTCTCGGATACAGTTTTTTTTCTTTTCTATACACTACGATATCTATTCAATTCTCTCCGATGCTGCGTCACATGTAGTATATTTATGAGCTCGTCGCTCCGGAGTGCAAAATTTTCACCCTATATATTCTTTCTCGCACCTGAGCCTGGATATTTTATAATATAATAGTCGATAACTGGTATAACATTATCACGAGTCCGCGTCTCTAGCGCTTGCGATTACGACGATGAGAAATTATTGCGTCAAGGTGGAGGTCGATTGAGACTCTATCTATATACGCTTCTCTTCTGCTCGCTCTGACACGGGATCGGGAAATTGAAAGCCCATTAACGTACACGCGTATATAGCAGAGCGGAGAGTTCACATGCGCGAGATGACGCATCCCACGCGCACGTGTGTGTGTCAGCGAGTAGGCGGCCAATATATGTATATTGAAAATTTCCCTCCGAGTGCACTTCTTTGTCGAATACAAAGTATAAAAGAGAAAAGAGGAGAGATAAAAAGTCACTTACAGCAGTCCATAATATTGATGACCTCTCTCTCTCTCTCTCTCTCTCTCTCAGTCTTCTCTCTCAAAAGCCGAGAAGAAGAGAGCTTGAGTTTCTAAAGGTCAGCTGTTTGAAATAATGTACGTCTGTGCTGCATGCAAGAGAGCTTTCTGCGCGTCGTGTCGCGTCGCGCGCGCGTGAAAATGGGATAAAAAACCGTTATCGCGCGCGCCATGTGCACTTGACACTTTCGCCGCCGGGCCTAGGCTCCGAGCATGTTTTATAATAATAATAACAACAAATGAAAAAGTCAAAGTATTTTTCTCGCGCGACTGGAAAATTTCCGTGTCACGAAGATCTCCGTACTCGATATCGCAGCTTTCAAGTATTCAACACGAACACGTAAAAGTTTGTAAGATTAATTCGGCAATAATCCAAAAATGTAAGTATAGCGTAGTTGTCGGGGAGGCTGACGTTGAGATTCACGTATTCTCGGTATCTTGCGAGAATTAATATTATACGTGACACACACACGCAGGCACATCGAGTGCGTACATACGAGGCGTGCGCAACAAGTTGAAGAAAATATAATTCCATATTCTCAACGGCGCAAATAAACGTTAACGGTAAGTCGGCAATGTGCGTCATAAACAAAGCCCGAGCTTGAGCCCATAAGCACGAGCCGCTACGAGAATCAATTGCTTTTTGCATGCGCGCGTGCGTATTATATATTAACTCCACCGAGCTCGTATCTTCTACATACGTATATAATATATATAGGGACAACAGCAGATCGGTTCTTGCTCGTCCTCGTCGTATAACTAATCCGTGCGCGCGCGGCTCTGCGCGGCTAACAGGTTGAATAAAAAAAAAAAACACCGCACACACAGGCCGTGTATATAGTGTGCCAAAGGCAATTAGCGCCGCGCGTGATTGGCTCGCGTGTCTCAATTGTCCGTCTCGGGCTAGAGAGAGATGGATAGAGAACGTGTACATTTATATCACATATATATACAGCACCGAAGCCAGAGCTGGGGGGTGCAGCCGCGATGATAATGGCCTTTCACTCGCGCGCGCGCGGATAGTGTTCCCACGCGCGCCACCATCAGCTGCCTATATATTCGCATGTTCGCGACCGAAACGTCGACGACACTCGATCCTGCCTGCCTAATTCTCTCTATTATAATATTAAGCGATCGCTCGAATATACTCACGTGTTTATAATAAAAGATCCCTGCCGAGCGACGATCGCGCTCCTTTTTTTCATTTGCCCGCATGTGTACGCACGAACGAGGGCAACCGAGCGAACGAGCGAGCTTGTTATTACGATCGGTGCGAGAAAAAAAGTCAGCGTGACGACGTTT